ATTCATTATTTAGAAAAAAGTCGTTAGAAACTTATTGTTAGATTTTGTTTTACTGTTACAAAATATCTATTTATTGATAAATTTCAACGGTTTGATTTTTATATATAAAATAATTCAGCTATGTGAAGTCAATATATTTGATTTTTGTTACTATTTTGAGCAATATTTTTAATATTAGATAGTTTCGTATCGAACCTAAAAATGGATTTTGTATTAAATTGCGTTATTCCTAACAAAAATAAAGAGGTTCTAATTTATATTCGAATTGTTATTATTTTGTTTTCTTAGATATTTGTACCATATTTGCAGTTTGAAATAAATCATATTGCTCAAAAATACCTAATTGCATATTTGAAGTTCAAAACAGTTATCAGGTGACAAATACGATAACCGTCAAATTGCGTTCTTAATTTTGTATGGCGATTAATGCTTCTATGTGAGATTTGACGAATCAATTTGATCAAAGTGAATTAATCTAGTTATACATTTTCTGCGGCGCTCACGCGATGGAACCTCTAATTAAAATAAAAATCCACCTCGTTCTCCTTTGCCAGCGCAGGATAACAACTCTCTCTCGTCCGTCCCGTGAATCGCCCGTCAAGTGCGACTTCGGCCTCGTCGCCGTAGCGCGGGAGTCGAGTGCGTTACGCCGAGTTCGTCGAGAGTGACTTGTGATATTTACACTGAGCTTTTGAGGATAACTTAAATATTGATTTAAAGCAGAGGGATATTTCAATCTCAATCTCACGTCGACTCTCGATTTTTTTTCCATCTCTAATTATGTGCTCCCGTAAAAATAAAATGACAGCCGGAGCGGGTGAAGTGATTGAAAAGAAATTTTTAAAGAAAAGCTTCGCGGGCGATTTTAAGTAGTTATATATTGTGAGAGGCAGGTACGGTTCATACAATTTCAAAAAGATTGAAATATGTTTTCAACGTAATTCCCTCAGAAGTAAAATGCTTGATATCAATGTATGTCTGTATTATATTCGATAATAAAATATGTATGATGATATCAAGAATTTTTCAATATAGTTGTATTAATATACTGCCAAAATAGAAGGTATCAGTGGGACATTATATTGCAGATTTTTAGCGTATTTTTTTTTCAAGTTCAAAAAACTCAAACAAAGATAAAAAGATGTAAGAAAAATACTGCAAAATGTATCTAAAATATGACAAATAATTTTTGGATAAATTTTAAACATGATCATTTCGATTAAAAAATGAAGATTTTAAAACGACAAATATATTGTATATTAATGTAGATAAACCAAATTCAAACAAATTTATCATATATAAACTAACAAAATAATGCAAGTGTATATATATATATATATATATATATATATACATATAATAAGTCTAATATCCCACACGATCACGGTCCTAGTATGTTCTACCCCTATTTTAACTCTTACTTCGGCCACATAAAAAAACTAACCCTCTAACTAGACAGTTCTAAACCGTGAACATCAAATAAAGGGCGCTATGCTTCGGCAGCGAGTGGGGTTCAAATATATTTTAATATACACCCTCGGCTTGGAGCTGGTTGATGCAAACCGCGGGGTTTCGCGGGATCCAGGCCGAAAGTGCTAAGAGCAAGAGTTGACACCAAGTCCTGGTGAATAAATATTTTGGAGGTTTGAAAAAAAATGTAAAAATTGACCGTTTGATACTCAAACCCACAAAAATTGTCATTTTGTAAAACTTTCAAATTTAAGATTTAAGATTATTTTTCTATTTTTCTCTTATTTCAAACCAGACCACTACAATACTGGCACTAGAACAACACTAGTTTGAGCCTTGAACCATTTATAAATCTCTTTAAAATAAACTTTTTTTCAATCACCAAATAAAAAAAAATCAGATACCATAAATAGGTATACCTAAATATTTTTGTGTTTTAACTCTAGGTCAGAACTTTTACTTTGAGTGATGGGTCGATGAACAGATAAAGTAAATAGAGTGAGAAATCATAAAATTGATATTTAGATTGTAATCAAAAGAAATAGGGCTTCTAAGAATTCTGAAACTCATATCTAACTCATGGGAAAGAAAGTTAAATCGAGAAGTTAATCGTCAGGTAATGCTTCAAAAATATTTGATATCCTAAATTGATATATTATTTTTTATAGCATGGTATTTCAACTATTATTTAACTAAAGATGCATTTTGCCCAGGAACTTTCAATAAAATCTCGTCCTCGTCGTAATATGTCGAATTAAAAGTTGCGCAACGGGTTTATGATAATAGACGGGTGTGAATTCTGTCATAAGGAAAGAAGATTTGGCGTCCGAATGAATTATTCAAATCTTAAAAGTCCCGAAAGTATTTGCATACGAAAGTTAGTCCAACAAAAAATATCCTTCCGCGATCACTACGAAAAAGTGCTTTACATATAAGTATTCACTAAAAGCATGTGTTGCCAAAGGTAAATCTATCGTCAATCTTCTTAAGAGAACATATAGTCGAAAAAAAGTCGTGAAGATATTTAGTGGTATTATGTAGAAAAATCGTTCTTTTTGTTTCGAATAAATGCATACACAGTCATGTATTCTATTTAGATGATTTCTTTAGTTTATAGTTTTTAATTAAAAATCAAATTCTAATTCCACGAAACCACATGGTAGAAAGTAACTAATCAATGCTATATTGTGCCGGATTTTGAACTATTATAAGAATTTCTTGGCGACAAAAACATTTCAGAAGCTTTTTAATAACTACCGTTACTATCCCTGTGTATATAAATATTCGAGACTAGTTTTATAGCATTGATGAAAACTGTCAGAAAAACATAAAAAATATCCAGTCGACGAAATATAACAAGAAGCCATTCATGAATTATTCAATCAGAAATATCTTATATATACGTTGGTCAGCGGGGTTGCTTCCATATAGATATATCAATGTTTCTTTTTATTTCTCTATATATTTTTCTAATATTTTCCGTATACTTCTTGCCACATACAGACATTAACGACGGAGAAGGAATCTCTTTTATTTGCCAATGTGCATGGAACTGGAGTTCCTCGTAGTGGATCTCAGACCCATCTGTGATCACGGGCAATATTAGCAATTCAAATCGCTGGAAATGTTTCACATTTGTTGTCCGTTCACTGGAAAACCAGGAAGAACTTTTAGGATAATTAAAGATAGTGGAAAAACAAACAGAGGGATTTTTTAAATAAATAATCAAACTGAACTCATGAAATCACATTCACAATTGTAAAACTAAAATAAACTAATGTTTAATAGATAAAAACAATTTTTATCATTGAACATTTTCCGGGCCAATTTTACGAAATTAGTTAAATGTGAGTCCTAGCCAAACAGGAATTTTCAGTCGTGGAATTGAATTTTCCAAAAATCCCCAACAAACACGTTATAATTTGCATAGCGGAGTGACAAGTGCCGTGAATTAATTTTACGCCTGTCAGATTTGTGATTGCGGTACTATTGTGCCTCTGCCGCAAACCCTCCACCGTTTCCGAACGCGACACTAATGAAACCTCAAATTTAAATTGAGTTATCAGAATATTGAGATCTTATTCCGAACGGCGCTAAATTTAATTTTAACCCGGGATAGAAAAACTACAATCGGTGGTAATACTATTTTAAAGCATATTTTAGAAGGATGTAGTTACAAATTTTATGGCACATCTTAGGTCTCTAAACCAGCAAAATAAGAATAACTTCATACGTAAGTATGATATTCGTAACTTCATAAATAAGTAAATATAAAAGTTTACAAGATACAAACTAGGTAATTCAAAATTATAAGGAGAAATAAAAATATGTGCATAATGTATGGAAATTTAAAACATAAACCGTACCAAGATTAAGTACAATATATCATTAGGATCAGACATACTGACAATGCCCAAATTTTCGAGCAAATAGATATTTTGTCAAGAATCCTATACTTGCATTTTAAATCAGAATACTTTTCCAATTACAATGATAGGATATCTCCATTATCCAGTTTAGGAATCCTTGAACGGGTCATCGTATTTTTCTAGCAAAGAAAATACATTTCCCAGAGACAGTATATAACGTTATGTGCGATATAAAAGAAATGCATCGCGTTTGTAGCAAATTCCGCCAATGACGTACGAGGAAACTCTTCTTGACCGAGGAAAATCCTCCCAAGAAAATCTCGAGAGCAGAGAAGTAGAAGATGGCGCCGGATTTGGGATTTTTTCTAAACGACATGACACAGAATGCATGCGTGTCATCCGCCTTCATATCGTCGGGTACATCTCGGAATCATGTATAAAACTTTTCCGGTCAAATGACGAACGACCATTCGTAAGAAAGACCAACGGATGTACGTGAGGAATGGACTTACGTTGTACATGTACATGTACATCACACACACACACACACACACACATATATATATATATATATATATATATATATACCATTTACAAATAACTGCACTTTTGTACAAAGTATGTGCAATTATTGCAACTTTTTTACAGCAAAGCCAATTATAATAAACCAAAAACGTTTTGTTTTTTTTCGTTTACAATTTCAATTCCACCTGTTTCGCGACACATGCTCGTCTTGAAATAGCGCAAAGATCTTGTATTTATGATACAACCATGACAATTAAATTAAATTATGAAGGGTTGAGATAATAAAAACGAATCAGCCATCAAATTGTAACCCACACCTTGCATTTCACAGAAGCCAGAAGTCGAGAAGAAAAAATAAAACGGAGAACAACATTCTTCGCATTATCGACAGTGAATATCTATTTGTTTTATTTATTTATTTTACAATCCAAAGATAAAATGAATTGCTAACCTCTCACAATCAAGAAGTTTTTAATGAAGAACTACAATTGTTATAGCAATTGCTTGTTTTTAATGATTGTTTTATCAATTTTCCGAAGAAAAATACCTAACCTCCAAACAAATATCCAAAACGATGTGTTTGATTATCGAAGCCATGAACATTTCCTCAAAGAACAACTTTATTAATTAATAACCCTAGAATAAATCTTCGATCTACAGGAAATCTTAATTTACAGTGTGGATATACCACAATTTGTAGTGTGAATACTGAATATATTCAAATTTTAACTAAAAATCATACGTGCAAATGACAAAGAATCAAGGTTTTATAACCTCTACAATTTAAAGCCGGTGTGCCAAAGAAATTGTTCAAATAAACCGAAAATTATCTAATTATTATTATTATTGAAGGTTTTGTAATCTATTCAAAAATGGATTAATAATTAGAAATATCTTACCTTATCTGTCATGAAGTCCCAATGAGCAGATGGTAAACCACGAACTTGACATCTGAAAAAAAAACAAGTTGATATATAATAACAATATTAATATATACAAGAATAAATGAAAACAAAGTAGTTTAAATCATATCTCATTCATTACATACAATAATATACAAATAAATAGGTAGTAAAAAATCAGTAATATTAATCATTACATCATTTATAATATCAAGTTATTGTTATAAGTTGATTTAAAATATGTCATTTGAATAACTCACTATAAATTGAATATTAGTAAAACGTAGCAAAAATATAGAATACTAGATGAACAAAATTATACTTTAATAAAATTAATAAAAAAGCAATTGTACTGTAAATGTAACTAGAAGTTATTAATAATAGTAAATATATATAGATATCATGAACTAGTGTTGATTAGATTATTCGTAGACCATCATAATCCCTTTATCTATTACTTTAATACATTTTCAAAATGTTCTGTTAATTATAATGCCCAATACCTGCATTTAGAATTAAATTGCAATATGTTTTATTATTATTTTATATGGGATAGGGGTTTATTAATTACATATCTCGATAAAATTTATAACGACCTCCGGCGTATGTGAAGCAACGTATGTAAGAACGACTAGGCTTCACTATTGCCATATGGTTTGCGTTTTTTCTCGAGAAAATGCGGAAAATATTTTCATGAAACAGAACAGTTTTCCGAGTATCTCCACTAGAAAGTTGACACTTCACTCGAAGATGTCGGTAGTGGCGGAAAATAGATTCGGTTTTGGTTTGAATTCGAGGAAAATGATAGTGCAATATGTGAATATATATAGCTAACAAATTTATAGGCATTTACCTCAGTATTAAAGAGCAAAGAAACTATATATGTTAGGTTTAAGGAAAAAAATTAATTAAAATTATCATGTACTGAAATTTGCAGAGGTTGAACCTTTAATGGATAAAAGCCTGAATTGAAACTTTTGCTATATTATATTATATATCTATATAATTTTGGGTCTGTGTATGTGTGTATGTATATTTATTTATCCATTTGCGCGTGGACAATGTACACAATCCTCGTTCCTTGTGACAAAAGACGAAAAGACGGTAGCTTTTTAGCTGAACTTCGGCTCGACAATGCAACACAAATAATTTGGTTCCTCAAACGTGACTCAAACAAGTGCGCAAGTGTACTCAGCGTGTTGTCCATTCATGAAATTGAATAATGTAATATACTCTCTCATGAAATATTCATGTGATGTGTTAATTCGATCGAAAATATTTCAAATCAGATTATAATGCTCGTGTTAATCAAACCACTTAGCGTCTGAAGGTTGGTGGTATTTTCACACACAGTAAAAGATTTATTCTGGAAGTGTCATCGTGGAGGTACGGATGGCACTTGAACAGGTGAGGGCGAACTAGACTCAAACTTAAGAAAAATTATATAATTTTCTAAAGTGGTCGGGTACAATATAAGTACCGAAGTCTAGAATAGTTTTCAACAATCAAAGTATTCTCTTAGCCAATTTGATTTGGTATCTGCAAAGGACTAATATATCATTTCCGCATCCGCTTTATCGTTGGATATGTTTAAAAAAGTATGACGGGTATAAATATAAAGATGCGGCGATAAGGCGGCGCATCGCGACTATCCCACAGGTGCCGCTGTACGGTTATTATGCAAATCAGACGAGGAGCGCGGACACGGGCCGCGGGTCCTAACGACCGGCAAGTCATTATTTATGAAAATTTATGGAAATTTATTCAAATTTATTGAAATCTATTATAATACGATGACCAAAATTAATGCAGTTTGAAGTGAAGATTTATACAAGATTAGAATTTACTGAATGAATGGTGAAATATGCGAGTTCTCCATCAAACTCAGATAAGATTATTAGCAATAATTGCACCAGTAACTGCGGCTACACAACTAATGAGAGGAAAATTAACAAGTTATATTAAGTGAAACTGTTATTAACATCCGCCCGAGATTGGATTGAATTGTAATATCGAAAATTTCCTCCTAAGTTATCAAAAGATTCCATTTCCATGACATCAAAGCATTGTCGATTTACACGTGTGTCAATGTACAGGCACGTATTAATTTTATTTTTGGCACCCCGAGACGAGCAAAATGGATCTGTCATAGAGGGTTTATACTCCCATGACAGATGAACGTCAGCGATCACAATCTTTTAGAGGAAAATCCGATGCGCGCAGATAACATTATATCGAGGCGTGAACATGTGCAGATTTTGATGAATTTATCTGCATAATCTAGATTAGAATAGAATGGATTCTGCGGAGCGATTCGGGGGAGGGTCGGAGAGACAAAGTAGAGGTTAAATTAGGAAAAAATCGTTGGCGGTAAGTAATTGTGCCGCAGCAGTCATGAGAATTTTATAATATTTGGTGAAGTTATAAAAGTCGACTTGAATATTTTGGTTTAGATTTAGAACATACTGTAATTTGAAATAATTCAGAGCAACTGCATGGTTATTGTTTATCAGTTTTACGATATTATTAGATACTTAGTGCATAATTTTGCATAATAATTAGCATTAAACAAAACATTGACTGATATTAGATAGAGATTAGAGTTACTTCATACATATGCATAAATACGAATACAGTATAAAGTTAAAAAATTTAAAAAACGCACTAAATAAAAATTAACACATTATTTTCAGTAAAAAAAATATAGGATGATACCTTGAAGAGTAAGTGTTTGTGGATTAGTGTATCCTGAAATTCTTTATAAACCAAATATGTTTCTGTAAGGCCTTCATCCTCATGCGTCCAAATAACTGGCTTGGCATTCGATTTGGACCAAAAATTTGCTGAATTTGTGTTCCATATGGAAATAAGTGCAAATTTAAAATAAAATGTTTCTCTAAGATTTTTATTAAATAATATCACTCTAATGTATTTTAGTATCAGTCTAATGAATTTCATTAATTAATATGATTTAGTCAAACAAACGGTTCTAGAGTCTAAACTTTAGACAAACACTTCTGTATATTTTCTATAACACCGAAATCAATTGGGCTTGTTCGTAACTCAAGCGGTAAGAGGTTTAGTTTTGCAACAACAATAGATTACTGGCTTGAACAACCTGATATCAAGTGATATAGAGTTCAGATTGATAATTCTAATGATGTATTTCGACAAGATTATTAGTGAATATGCATGTGTATGTGTGTGTTTGTGCCTGAAAATGTACATGATGATGTACTCGGGTTCCGAAATTCGTGCTATTTGTTCACCTACGTATAATCGAATATTATCGTCTCACTGATTCCGGCTGCGGCGCTCGTTGTTTGGATTAGTTCCGTTCCGCGTTCGCTCGGTTGCTCTGTTATATTTAGCTTCAGACTAAACTACTACCCAGTAGCGAACTGTAAAAGCAGCAAAGCAACCCTCTGCACCAGATCCAGTCCAGGGACCCAAAAATACCATAACCGGAGGGATGTTTGTTATTCGGCTCCCCTATACCGCGCCGCACTCCGCACAATGCGAAAACGCAACAATAACAAAAAATAATAGCGCGATTTGGAAACACGAGATGCAGTTTATGTCACAGTTTGATATTAATTATATCCTTGAATACAATTCTATAGTCATCGCAAAATATTAATGATCAAAGTTCAGCGCGAGTAGATAAAAAGTTCCAAACAAAAGCACATTCCATACGACTTCATAACCATTAGCCTAGTTTAGTAAATAATTAAAAATATCTAAACTATGTGAAAGTTGAAAGTGAAAAACTATTAGCCACAACATAACTGCTAAACGCCAACAACCAATTGAGTTAAAAGTTTCAAAAAAAAAATCCTTAAGCAAACAAAGCCCAAACCACATAACAAAACTCCGCTCGACAAATTAATTTAATGACTCAATAAATACGAGAAGACAAATTGCACACAAACTTGCAACACCTCGATACAATCTATCTCAATATTTGTGTATACGAAACCGGTGCTCCTGAAAATTTTTACCTGAGGGCAAATTACACGCACGAAATGATTTTGGAACAAATGCACCCCTAATGAAAATAAATTAAGGGCGGCGGCTTAAATTCGCCATAAGATGTGCAATCAAGCGTTAATGCAACTCAGAAGACAACCCTGAGCTGTTTACTAGGCATCGGGCAAAATTTATACGAGGAGGCAGCGGAAGAACAACGACGAAGGTTTGGAAATTTAAACAATTACAATTGATAATTATTGATAAAGTATATGGAGATATACACAAACATAAAAACGAAAAAAGCATAACAACAACAATAATATTCTCAGTGTATAGGAACAATAATTTTAATTTATTTAACTTATTGAATTTTTACACCAGGAAGTTTGGTTTTAACTAATCACGAAATGTTGTGATCGGTTCAGCAATTCTAGTATAGAGTGAATCCAATTAATCAACCTGGTTTTCCATTACTATCTTAATATTCTCTAAATCGCAGCATCATTCATCAACCTCGTCCTTCATAAACTTCATAATCGACCCTATAGAACGAACAAAACACTTTGTCCTGAATCCTAGGATGCCCTTTTCAATTGATATATGAAATATTTTCAGATGACTCCACGAAATCTACGGCCGGCCATGAAATTCCGCAAGAACATTAAGTCAATATTATGATATATCATTTGGACATCGTATATATTCTCTAAAGTGGCACATGGCTTTTGGAAATTCCATGGAGCGAAAATCGAGGGATAGATAAACTATTTTAAATTTATGTCGAATCATTTACAGTTTATTTATCATGAAAAGGAAGTATAATAATTATTTTTCTGTGCATCGCTTTGATTTTTAATCCATGAATTGCGCAAAATCAATAACAACCGCAGATTTCATTTGTTAACTAATAAAACTAAAATTTTAAGTATCAATTTATTTTATTCATGTTACAAATCTGTTTTTGGTCTTTTAGCAATCCAATCTTTTATAGTTGGCAAAGATACAACGTTATTATAAACAGTTTTTAGACCTTGAAAATCGTTTAAAATATCAGTTTTTGACATAAAGCTCAAGTATTCGATGGCACCAACAAATTGAAAGTCAGCCCAAGTTAGCTAAAATAATATTAGAATCCTCAATATATTTTAATTTCAATATAATATACAGGAGTGTTATAAATACCCTTCCAAGAGCTAAATGCCCATTATTAGCTATAGCTATTGTATCAAACTTTTCTGCATAAAAAGGTACAATTGTATCATGGACTTCGTGCAATTTTTTTGCTTTAACCTCTGGATCAGTTCTCCAAAATGCCATCGTTACTTCTGTAAACGCAAATAAGTTGACAATATGATATAAATATCATCTCATGTTTTAAAAATTACTATCTCTAAAATCATTAAAGGCGTCAGCAACTGCATCGATTTCCAAATCTTCCAATTCGTCATTACCACCAAGTCCAAACCGTTTTCCCAAATATCGAGCTAGTGCCAAACTTTGATGGAGCTTTTTACCATCTACTTCCAATACAGGCAAAACACCAAATGGCATCGCTAAAAATGACAGGGTATTTTCCACATCGGTATAATTTTTTTATTGTGTTAGCACTATTTTATCCCTTACTCGGTTTTAACGCATGCCAATCCTCCGATCGAACGCGAACATCTTCGAAATTCACATTCCCATAATTTAACAGCAACCTTATAGGTTCAGCTATTCCTTTGATATTGAAATATATCACTTTATAATTAGACATTTACACAGATAGTTATTAATTTAATATAAATTTTATTGTAAAATTTAATTGTCACCAAATGCAGCTAATAACTGAATGTCAGCTACAACATTTATATACTCGTTGTTTATTAAAAACATATACACAAACAAAATAATTATTTATGTCAGTTTTAACCTTGCGAATAAAAACGGGTCAGCTAATTTTCTTTATCTTAATTTATTATAATTATACGGTACTAAGCTCTCATACCAATAAACTAATTAATATTTATAAATTTGCTGATAGTAATTGGCAAAATCAATTTGTTGATATAGTTTATAAATAAATGCAGGTATTTCTTTATCCTTTAAAAATAAATTTTGACTTGTATAATAAATAAAAAAAACTCTTGCCTCAAAATGCACTGAACCATTATTTTAATTTAACAGAACCATAATTTACCGAATACATATACAATTTTAGGACAAATTATATCAAAGAATAACATCAAAGTAGAAAATTTCTACAAAATCAAACGGGAAGCTATAAATTCAATACGAAGAATTAATTGGCATCCTTTCCGCCTGGTAACCATTTCTTTTATTGCATTTGGTTTGGTGCACCTTTCGCTTTTACCACAATTATTGTGCTCAATAAAATAATATCATATCTATATAATAGAAATTTGAAAAAATAATATATTGGTATCGGTTACTGAAATGGAATTTCAGATAACTTTTTCGAAAAATATCAGTTTGATGAATGCTTCTTTGTTTGATAAAGGACACTCATCTTTTTTGGAATAGAATAAAAAGAAATTGTGTAATTTAAAAATGTTATCAATAAATCGCAGAAATAAAATTCTTGTTTATCCTTTCCCAAAATTTATTTTCAGTTTTTCATCAGGATTTCCATGTTTCCATTACCTCCATCGTCGAATTTCCAACCACCAGGACAGAGTTGCGGTCGGTCGATCAAAACTGTGACGCCATCACAAATCTGACGGGCGTGAAATTATTTTTACACTTGTCGGGGTTGTAATATGCAAATGTTGTTTTGGTGTACGAAAACATACATATATAATAATATATATATACACAGACAAATACCTATATGGCGATACTTATTTGTATTTGCAGTAGTCATATCAAAAACTCACCCCCGTCGGATCAAACAAACGTCAGTGCAATATGTGACTTCGGGTTTACTTCAAACCGCCGAAATCATTTAATATAGACCTTGTGGCTGAGTACGACCCTCGGCAAGAGGCACCCGGATCAAAAATAGAATATATTGATACTTGGGGAGGAATAATTAGAATTTGAATTGTTGAAGAAAGAAGTAGTTACAACTTTGAAGAATTCTGAAGGATTAAAGTAATATAACAGAACGTTGAAGAAATAAACTTAATTTTTTAAGACAGGAATCTCTTTTTCTTTTATCTAAGATACCAGATAACGAAGAAGAGGTGAAAATTTTTCTTTTACGATGTTTTAAATTGCCAACTTCTGGTTAAACTATGATTTGATAGATTTTCACATAGAATTTGAATGAAAATTTACATAATATAGATATATTTTTAAATTTTAATCAGATGCAGCAATTAAAATGAATATCACTGCTGCTTGATATTCAGTAATTAGTCATAAAAATACATGATTTTTGGCATTTATAAAATATTCTAGTATGTTTTCCCCAAATCGTTATTCCTGTAGAGCATTTTTTAATTTTATTTCAAAATATATAGAACATATTCAGATAAGCTCAAAAACTAAAAGTTGAATAATTTTGAACCAATTATAAATTTTGCCAGAACCTTTGTGATCAAAGGTTCTTCAATCAAAGCAAATTCATCACAATCGTGACAACTTGAAAAATAATTAATTAAGCATAATTCATATCATTGCCTGATTTTATATATTAGGTATGCAATTTCTAAAAATGTGTGTAAGAGGTACCTTGATAAAATTTTGAATGTGATGAGCGAGAATTATAAATTATAACTTCGTGCATTTTTTCGCCCTCATTGAAATTTTACTATCCAAAGGGAAAAACGACATATTGTGATTCGTAATAAAACTAAGAAGATTTAATAATAAAAAACAAGAACAATTAAAATTCATTTGTATTTGTTTATATCGCGCATGGTCTATAGCCGGAGTCGCCGAATAAAATACATGAACAAATACATTCGAAAATATTGAATGCGACCAACACAATCGCAAAATGCAAGTATATGGTAAAACTATTGATTTTATGTAAATTTTATGTTGGAACGTGATTATCATACCAACGGGGGGCTTTGTCTGTGTTGAGTCGTATAGATGTGCGGAAGTCCAACACGAAGGCACACGGAGGCGAATTCGATGGTGTGCGGGCGCCGGGAGTATGCGCGTCTGGTATAGGTATGTATATAGATACCTTTTGGCAAGTACATAACTGATACTACGGACACGAATACACACGAATATTATCTATATACTCCGACATTATTATTCCCATCACACAGGACACGAATACACCCTCAAACGTATACGTATACGGTGATATATCTAGGTATATACAGACGCACGCGGAATAATTTTCCATATATACACATACATTTATATACATTAGCATTTAGATCACGTACTCTACTATAGACATATATACACATATATATATATATATATATATATATATATATATATGTATGTATATATAAACAAAATCAATATATACATACGTTTATGAGAGGCGTATACCTATCTACGCTAAAATACACCAATTTGCAGGTCGTTATATATATATATATATATATATATATATATATACACAAATAACTCTATACCAAAATGGCGCTTAATGTAATTTTAAATAAAATGAAGGCGCCTACAGATATCAAAGCAAAATACACCTCAAAAAGAATATGGCTCGCTTTTAGTATTATTTAGAAATAGGACAATGAAAAACTCAACGTTTCATTAAATGTTACGTAGCACTTTGTTATTAATCCAAGATTTCAAATTATGTTTGCGATTTGAGCTTCATATCAAGCAGTAGTTATTTTTTTTAAATTTATCGAAAAACTAAAAATAGGAACTATACCCTAAATTTTCCAGAAAATCCCCGATAAACTAAGAGGAAATAAAAATACACCTCAAATTTCCGTAAACATTCTCAAGAGCTTTTGAGAAAATTTAGGGAAATATGGGGTGTATTTCTATTCCGTATAACTTTTTTGGGAAAATTCTAGGTAAGGATACATACCCTATTTTTCTCTAAATTTAGAGAAATTTAGTTTACCACTAAATTGCCTTCTAATTATTCAAAAATATAAGTAATAACATCACAACAACCCAGAATATACAGAAGTAAGAAGTAAGGATAGTTTGATTTCTGTTCAATTTTTTTTTTCAAATTGTAACCAAATAAATGTTTTATTTATTGATTTATCTGGTTTGAATCGTTACTTCTTTTATTTTTATTTCTCATTAATTATTAATTAATCTATTTTTACAATCTTAAATTTTGATCTTAAGTTTCTCAAAGAAATTCTCAAAATATTTAAAAATTTTCAAAACACGATAAGAGAAAAATTAATACACTTGTTTGCCCCATCAAACCAACTATAATATTTATTGATGTCTACTTTTATTTTAATTGAATAAAAACATTGAAAATAAAATACTAGCATAAAAGGAATTCTTAATTGAAGACAGTGGATTGTAAAATATGATGAATAATTAAATCTCAAATAAAAATAGTACATCTACTACAAAAATAATCTTTTTACGAAAGCTGAGTATAAACAATAGGTCCTAAATGAATCATCATTGCATAAAAATTAATTTTATAGAAATATGTTAATTCTTAAACAGTGTGTATGTAATATTTAGTATATATTTGAATACTTATGTACTATGTATAGTGCATGGCAAGGAGTGAGTTATTGATTTGATGTAAATTTATACAAATGTATGCGCATGATTTTCAGATATATCTTGCTTTTGTGTATGGACTGGGAGGTATATAACGAAAATACGAACATACACAAATATACCGGTATATAAGCCAACACAGGCAAGAGACAAATACTTGAGATTCCTATATAATTGTTTTATATTTTCAAACACATGGAAATCAGGACATTTTATATCTAAAATAATTAATTCTAATTTACACACGTAAAGTACGAAACGATTGTTCACAAACAAATCTATAACTGGTATCTATAATATGTAATTTGTTGTCGAGCCTTTATCATAACTTTCATATTAATTTACCTATCTCCTAAAATCATGAGAAGCATAACATCAAGTAAAAAAGAAAAGCTATTAAAGAATCTTTAGTTTTCCATACGTTCCACTATATGAATAAAATACAAAGTACATAAGTTGAATCTGATTAATCAATCTCAATTTTTCTTCTAAGGCTTTAGTTTACTTTTACAACTCTAGCAAAGTAATTTTTATAACAAAATGTATAACAGCATATAAATTGAATAATTGCATAAAATTGAGAAGAATCTTGAGTTAAATTTTGGAAAAAAACGATACATCTCTATGTTATGAAAATAATTAATGCAAAATATTTAAATTCTAACCTAGCTTCTGATAATACGATGTGGATGTCTCAAATATTAATTTTGGGTATTGAAAGGCAATTTGTAACTTGATTCATATTTTTTAACTTTAATCTTATATTCAGTAGTATATTTTCCAATATATATATAAAAAATATCATAAAATATGTTACTAATAAACAGTGGTGTTGTCGAGCCGGAACGCGCCGGAACGTCGTTCCGGCAAATCATTTTTGAGCCGGAACGCGTTCCGGCAAGAAAAAATATAAAAACATCGCTACATACAGAAAATGATTTAATAAGTAAATTTTATACGTTATTATTCAACTAATTTTTATTAAATGTTATTATTGTAATAAACATACATATATGTGCACAAAATGGGTTTTGTAATAATTTTTTGTTTCTTTCCTTTTCGAACGGAACTGGAAAAACATGAAAACCGGTTAGAACCGGTTTTTAAATTTTAGCGTTCCGGCAAAAAAATATTAGCACAAAACCACTGGTTTTATCAAAGTCGTTTTTAATTTAGCAACGAATTGAGGTGTATGAACTTCTTATAGAAAAAATAATATTTATAAATTAAATCTTACATTCATTCGCATTTCTTATACGCTAACATCTACATCATAGGTTCCTATTCATGTATTTTTATAGCCTTACGTGTGCCTATACGTTGCATTCTATACTACACGCCTTACATGTTTACCATACGCTATATTTCATTATATACTCTCAAATCCCTACATTGTATACCGAATACACCTAACCTATATCTACTAGATATCCTATTACCTATATTTTTTTTACACGCTACATTAACCCTACCGAGAATCGAACCCGGGTCCGCCGCGTGGCACGCGACGACCTTATCCACTACACCACCATAACGCTACAATCAACCGTTCTTTTTCGCGTGTCGTCGCGCCACCTTAGTATTAATTACCTAATTAATTAGAAAATGACCCGCGGAAACAACAGTGCGTCTCATATTATATTATTAGTGGGGGTACCCGATAGGGTAGTGGTTAAGGTGCGCGACTTCCACGCGGAGGTCCCGGGTTCAATTCCCGGTATAGACAATAGATAATATATATAATAGGTAGAGATAATACATAGGGCGTAAGGTAAACCTATATAATATAGGTGAATATATAAATTAGACAGTAGTATTTATAAGAAGTAAAAGGTCTGTAGGTATATAATAAGTTAATGACGGTATAGGTATCTCACGGTATGATAGATAATAGATATCTATCGATGATATACAATAATATAATATAGTATGATAGGTAATAGGTTATCTATCATATTATTAAGTTAAGTCTTATAAAGTATTGGAATAAATCTTGAGTACTTTTATATCATAATAAATACCTGTAGGTATTAATGAATACAAATGAAACCAGAATAAATATGATTAATGTCATTGAAGAATATAAATTATGTACTCAATGATTCCCTCATACTTGTACAATTTAATGTATAGACTAGCTGTGTATAATAGAGTTAATTATATAAAAAGTCAATATATTAGATTTGTGAGTTCTTATCGAAATATATCAAATTTTTTGAACCGGTTTATGAACCGGATTTTAAATTTTAGCGTTCCGGCAAAAAAAATATTAGCACAACACCACTGCTAATAAATATATTAGGTACATCACTGGCGCTACTAAAATGCTAGTAATTGTGATCAATTAGCGTCTATAATTATAACATTTTTTAACTCGACCAGGCAATGTTAGAGCTTGTATTCAATATTTTTCTTTTTTACTTGATGTAATGCCTTCCAAGATTTTATGCATATACGTGTGTGTGTACATATATTTATGTACATATACTGTCGTATCTGCCGGCAAGGGTTAATCCTAAAGTGACATAACGATGTGCAAATGTGGGTACATATATCCGCAACCTGCATCAAATATATATAGTGAGGGTACCCGTCGAACGCCCGAACTCGAATTTATAGAAGCGTTTTCCGTTTATGAATACGTTGAAGTAAAGTATCACACTTTACGACGATGCTATATTTTAGACTCGAAAATTCTCTTAAATCGACAAACAAAGTGCGATATCGCACAGATTTTATGGGGTCCAGACAAAATCAATTTTGAGGGAAAAAATATTATAAAAAATATAAAGTAAAATATATTTTATAGCTAGTCAAAATTTAGTTTTAATCAATATAGGAATATTCAAATTAATATTATTCCTTACATAAGAGCATTTGGCCTAGCATCAATATACGTTTCACACTTTCCGTCTGTAATGGTTTTTCTGGTGTGCGTGATCCATTTCCCCTAATAATTCGATTTTTTTTTTGCTAATGTGGCCCTGAGGGACAAATAATATATATATATTGCCTAGCAATGTTACCATATGTCCATAAACGCTATAGATTAACATGCGAAAATACATGTAGACGCAGCAAGTAGTGTAATAAAGACCCTCGATATTACGCGGACCAGTAAAGACGGGCGATATAAATCAAATATAATATAACAATAAAATTGGGAGACAGAAGAGTAACAATTTTAGGTATTTATTAATTTCGGATCTGTAAGGATGCTGGTGTGTCTTTAATTTAGCTATATATATATTTATTTTATTTCAGCCTAATGGCCTAGAAATACATCATTATACCAATAATACCTTAAACCTACTTTATATACAAAAAAATAAAAATAAACAGAAAAGTCTAATCCTAGTGGTTTCTAATAACTATAACGTTAATTTAGCTATATAAAATAGTGCAAAAATAGTATTAATGAATCTTATAAATCGGTCGTTTTTAATTTCTATTGTGCCTGCACTGGTATATATATATATATATATATATATATATATATATATATATATATATGTTGTATTATATTCAGTGCTAGTATCTAGTATACTCTTACGGCCTGATATATGCTACGCGCGTAGCTTCATAGAATAAATTTAACATAAATTTCAGATCAGCTGTGGCGAATGCGTTGGATGCTCAGTTTTCAAGGTTATTGTACCTTACGTGCATTTCTAGTCATTTACGAAAAAATCGATGACCAATTATAAAAATCAAGTTTAACATTAGAAAAAACTAAGCTTCTACCAATGATAAAAATATGAACAATGTACAGAATTTACGAATAATCAATAAGTGATTAAGTTGACTTTCAGCAAAAATGTTTTAAATCGCGGTATTAACTATTTCTCTGAAAATAGTTATTAAATTGAAAAACTAATGGTTAGGAACAAAACTCGATCAAAACATGAAAAACTAATGTTAGGATCAAGAGTCGAACAAAAGACTCTATATAAAATTTAAACCACAAATATCAAATACGCGATATTATACGAGTAATATAACTTTAAAATCAAGCTTTGCAAAATTGTGAAAATTTACTTAACATTAATATAAAAATTATTAGACAATAATAGAGAACTAGCATATTATTTACATTTTTTACGGTAGCGCTCGATATTAAAGCGAATTTTTCCGTCGCATGATGTAAAATGTAAAAAATTGTAATATTTGTATTTTCTAGTATACAAATTAGAATTGATATACTTTCATTTTGTTTTATAGTAGTAGTTCTGCAAAACTATTATACGATCAATAATTGTTGGAAATGTGTTGCTCTATTTTTTCAAGTATTCGTTCAGAAGCCAACCGAATGATTTTCTAAACAATATAACTTATCTTTATGTTTCGTCGTAAATAATGCATAAAGATACGGAGAGATAAGGCGAGCGGCGCGACTATCCCACAGGTGCCGCGGACGCCGCGGTGCGGTTATTATGCTAATCGGGCACAGCGCGGGTCCGAGCGGCGGACAACGCCGCCTGTCCAGACAAGGAACTGTTTCCCTTTGCCGCGAAAATCCATGGAAATACATGGAAATTGATGGAAAACTATGGAAATGCAAGGTAAGCGAATCCGCCGGATAACGAGCCGAACGGCTGACAGACACGACGCGGCGGCGATGAATTCGCGAAATGATAAATTAGTTGTGTTGAATAATTATTAATTCAAATATCAATTATAAAAAATATTTTAATCAAATGATACCGTCTGTATAGTCATACTATATTGCAAACGGTAAACGATTTTTTTTTTAATTTATTGTTAAATAACAATCAGTTTATATCAATTCTTTGATTGATATTTTCTTATATTGTACTATAGTCTATACTAACTATTGACTAAGCAGTATAAAAACAATTTTAATTCAAATCCATATATAGATGATATGTAGATAAAATTGCTTAATACCAATATATATCATAATAATATTTTTAACAATTTACTATTAGCTAGTGAAAATAAAAGTTCTTTTGATATTTCTGTTATAGCTATTTTCTAGCTGTAGATCTCCAAAAACATGCTTAACGAGTACAAGAACTTTTCCAAGACATTCCTGAGATATATTTACTACTTTGAAAATAAGTGAAGGTAATGGTTAAAATTAAACCATTAATGTGAGCTTGGAATGTACATGCATACTTATATACAATTGAATACGATCATATATTTATACCTTTTTATTAATATTTTGGGTATGAAAATATCAGAACTTTATCTTCTTTAATTTCGTGGAAACAAGTTGTAACATTAAGAGTGTAAACTCAGACATTTTCTTGGAATTAAAATAATTGTAATTCTAAGTTAAATTTGTCATTTGTCAAATACCTCTCTGTGTGTATGTGGTCTGTATTGAGTCACTTACAAAATAAGTGCGTTTCCGACTGTCGAGCACAAAAACCACATATCAGGTCACGCCCACACGTCGCTGCTCCTGTATATAGGCCTATACCTGTAATTTATATATGATTTTTACGTCGTGTGAGTTAGTAATGTTATTGCACAGTTAGTTTGTGTACATTTCCACCGTAAATTTCTCACCATGGGGAGCCATTTTGTTGAGAACGAACGCGCAATCAGCGGCGAATCCGCGACAGAACTCTTCGCAGACAATGGGACAATCGCTTATTAACGCCGCAGCGCTTATTAGACGGACTGCTCATCGGAACAATATTTTTTTCCTTTGTGAATTCATTATGAACTCGCTGCGGAATTCGTTTTCATTTATTTCGCTTAATTACGACTCTTGATTGCGCAATAATCCCTCAACGCTATTACGTTATCGTACATTATCCCGAACAGAAAAGAACAGGAAAAATAGTTCACTAAGAACATAATACTTGACAAATATCAAAACGGCAAATATATTTTAGGAGTGTCATTAAAATCGCCCATATGTATTTTCGAAAGCATATTTTTTTTAATAACTATAACTATTAGATTCTATATAAATATTAAAAAAAGATTTTTATATTATATACATAAAGTCTAAATATGAACTTAAATTAAAGGTATTATTCTGCTCGATAATAGTGCAAACGTACTACCTATACAGAAAAATATCAATCAATAACAATGATTCGCATTTTAGAATTGAAAATCTAGTGTATAATACACGTTAATTATAATTACTAAAGAATTGAAGACTAGTTTTATCATAACATATTAAGATTGCCATAGTAGAGATCGAATACGAAATAAATTTCAAAAGCTCCATAAATAAGCCGAAGCAGACTTCTGTAGTAAGTACAAAGTCGAGAAACGGGCTCCAGAGGCGAGCAATAAATATCAAATGGACTCTTTTGATCTTCAATAATACAGAGATGCCTCCTATATTATCTTTCAATTTGAAAACAATCCTATCGTGAATTTTTTAAAACTACCATCGATGTTGTATATTATATATATGCTTGCACAGACAAACACAGTGTCTGTGCAAGCAATATACATAGCAATAAAAAAAAAATAATAGAAGTATATCATTGTAAAAAGCTGATAATGCAATTTGCCAAATTACAAATAGAAGTGCTAATGACATGGTTTGTTAATATTTTTTCTTTAAATCGAAATCTCCCAAAAAAGGTACAAGAATAATTTGAATTGCTAATGAAGGCATGTTTGGAAGTTCATATTATATATATATATATATATATATATATATATATATATATATATTCAATATTTCCTGCTAGGCAATATCTTATATTTTCCTTGGAATAATTCATGAACAAGCGATAATATTTTATTTTCTGACCGCACACAGCTTTCTTCATGAGAGTTCTCTTTCATGTTATATTTTATTTTATATGTATATTACGCATAAGATGTAATAGATAATTTTGTTATAGATGTATGCTTGTGTGTTAAAATAATACTTATTATATAATGATACAAGATAAAAAATGTATCAAAAAGTCGCTAGAATAGTAATATTTGTAATATATTTGCAGAATTATTCGTACATCGACGCAGGCCAAGTACATATTGTCAATAAAAAATCTAAATGTCAAATGAACTAAACATTTATGATTATCATGTTTCACTCACACATTTTCATTGATATACTCAATGGCCTCATATTTAAAAACCCAGTTCCCAAAGCGGTAAAAATATTAGAAAAATCAAACAATTATGGCCAACGTTTTCGAACTGTCGAAATGACAGTTTGTTCATCGTCATAATGACGGTAAATTTTTTTTCCGGTGATGTCTAAAATTTTATTATTTTTTACAAAATCTAAAAATTTCAATATATAAAAATCCTCTGCAAAATAGTTTAGAGTTCTAAAACGACATAAAAATTATTAACTTTAATCGATTTCAAGTGTATTCTGCGCGTTTTTATAGATTTTTCCGTTAATTTTTCATTTCGATAACATGACCGAAACGAATTGAATAAATGTTCGACGTTGCCCAAGAGGAAGTTTGGCTCAGAGGAGCGAGTGGTTCGTGGGACAGCAAAGTCGACGACGTCGAGGCTGTCGGGCTGCTGCCGTGCAGCCAAATTTTGCGATAAGAAGAACCTCGCAGACAATATCCTAGAGGGGCGGCAGAAGCGGCACGCGGACAGCGCGGCGGCGCCGCCGCTAACGTTCGCGACACGTGAGTACAAATATATTTTCAATCACAAAATTATTTGTTCAAAGAATCAAGATTTTCGTCTTGATTTCCATTTGCAGGTAGATGGAGGTACAAGGCCCTGGCGAAGGCAGTGGTGGCGGACGCAGTATATCCGCCAGCGAAGGGCGGTGCATGAGCCAGCAGGCAATGATGTCTTTATATGAAATGCGACAGAACAATCTTCTATGCGATGCCGTTATTCGGGTTGACGATGGAACGTGCTTTCCGGTACACCGCGCCATTTTGTGTGCCTGCTCCAGCTATTTTCGGTATTTGCAGCAATTTCATTTAGAAAATTCATAGAAATCGTTAATTTACAAGTTCTACATATACAAATATAATTTTACTTTAATTACACTATAATCTTAGATTCATCACACCCATTCATAGCAAATTATAAAGAAAAACTATATTAAAAATATAAAATACAATTTTTGATTTAAAGTGTTTGAAATGCATGAGCCTTTGTTCATACTAGCTAGATATCAAGTTCCAAACAGTCATTGGGGAGAGAACAAATAAGTAGGTAATGAAAAATATTATTAGATTAAATTTGCGGTTAGACGTCAATCTATCTAGATCTAGATGTGTTGAAATATACTTAACTCAATAAACAACCTACAACCGTAAGAAGAAACGTAAAAAATCGTTAGCACCTGCATACCTCATACGGTTTTGGGAATTGAAAATCAAGATACGTTGCAGGTGTATGTTTGTAACTTTTTATATTATTTTTTTATAGATATGAAAAGCTCATATCTATAAAACATCATTTGTCTTCAGATTTAAGAATAGTATTTTCTATTATTAACATAGATGAGTGCGATGTAATAATAATAATGAATTAACGGACGCCAGTTCTTTAAAAAAGATATATATCAGTAGTTCAATCTTTTTTATTTAATAAATTGTAACAATTTAGATAATAATGGATAAAATAGACGTTGTTCTGTAATTATTACTGTTAACTAAATTAACAATAAAAAAAATTATACTCAATTAACATTTATACTCAAGAAACATGTTTCAACCATCGAAAACTCATATAGAGTATAAAATATATTTTATACGAATAAAATATATAATTAAGAGTAAGTATTTTTAAATACTAAATAAGCATTGGTTATAGGAGCCTAGTTGTAAGTAAATAAATAATGCAAAAGTCGCATAAGAATAAAACCATGTTAATTTTGAATCTACGTGCGTCATCTATTTTTCTTAAAATATCGACGCACAAAGCTCGCTTCAAGCATGTGCGCACAGATGTCACGATATTTTTAAAAAGCTCCATGATACTTTATAAATCGTTTATAAATAAAAATGTAAATTCAAAAAAAGACGGATTGTATTCACTATTACAATAATACATATATGCATATGCATTTATCATGCATAATGTATAGTTTTTCCACCTCCGTTCCGAAGTAATTAAATTTGCAATGCAATTATTATACATTGTCATTTAAGATTTCAATATAATGCTTTTTATATTTTCAGAGCTTTGTTCACAACATCTCTTAATAACGAACGAACCGACGTCACTTTGTCTGGTCTGAGAGCTCAAGTTGTAAGTCAAATAATCGAGTATTCGTACCTGCGCCGTGTCGACGTCGGGTCCGAGGCAGTGCACGAACTTCTGGTCGCCGCTGACTACCTCGGCGTCCTGGGTGTGCTGAAGCTATGCTGCGACCTGCTTCAGGCCGGCCTCAAACCGGACAATTGCATCGGCGTTATGAGATTCGCGAGGTAAATTATTTGAAAATTCGATGAAAAGTGAAGAATGAATATATTAGAATTTTTTCCCGGCAGAGCAAGGTTTTGCCATGATCTCGAATTAGCAGCTCGCGCTTACTTGATGCGACATTTCGTGACTGTAGCCACACAAAGCGATGAAATCTTGGGATTACCTCTGAAAGACTTAGAAGCTATAGTTAGCGACGATGAACTCAACGTCAAGAATGAAGAAGTGGTCTGGGAATGCGTTTTAAGGTTAATATTTAAAAAAATATTGAATCTATATTAGTTTTGCTTGAAAATATGCTTTTCCAATAGGTGGATAAACTTTGATCCAGAAACTCGAAAGCAGCACGTCGTAACATTGATGAAAGCGATTAGATTGGGTCTTTTGGATACTCGAGTAATTATTGAAACTAATAAATTATATATTACTAACTAATTTATTAATTCACACCGAAATGCGCTTAGTACTTCATGGAACATGTGAAAGAACACCCATTTGTTGTTAACAACGACGAGTCGAAACCGGTAATTATAGAGACCTTAACATTTTTATATGATCTTGATGTAATGACCACGAGGGATGGCGAGGTGAGATATTCAACTTTCTAACGATATCTTGTACGATATGGTCGTTTAGTAACTTATAAATCTTTTTTAAAAAATATATGCGATATATTACTAGATATTAACACCAGGCATTGCACTACCACGAGTTCCTCATGAAATTTTGTTCGCCATCGGCGGTTGGAGTGGAGGATCTCCGACGAATTATATCGAGACATATGACACGCGGGCTGATCGATGGGTCAGGGTAAGATGATAGTAATTAATAATTTATTAAATGAAATTTATTGTCCTTTCGATTTGTCAATAATATCAGTATTAGAAGGAAAGATAATGTTAATTATTATCAGGTCGAAGAAGTTGATCCAGCAGGCCCGAGAGCTTATCATGGTACAGCGGTTGTAAACACAAATATTTACGTAATTGGAGGATTCGATGGAATGGACTACTTCAATTCATGTAGATGCTTTGACGCAGTCACAAAACAGTGGAAAGAGGTAACAATTTATCATGAAGTTTTCCAGTATAATCATTTGATTATATATACACGGTAAACCTTATTGGATTTTTTCGCCATGTTAATAATAAAGTTTAATCAATAGGTCTTCGATAATAAATAATTCTAAGAGGCGCTAATAATCAATAATATAGCCTTAGCAGCTATCTTTTTAGATCTATAATTATCTTAAATATGCAAATTGCTAGTCATTATCCATTACCGGAGCGTTTGCTACCGGTAGAAGGATCGCGTTTAAATTCTCTTTGTTCAGGTTGCGCCTATGAACGCTCGGCGGTGCTACGTCTCCGTGGCGGTGTTGAACGACATGGTGTACGCAATGGGCGGCTTCGACGGACACCACAGACAGAACACGGCCGAGAGGTACGACCACCGTACCAACCAGTGGTCGCTGATCGCCTCAATGATTATGCAAAGATCGGATGCCAGTGCCTGCACGCTCGACAGTAAGTGTTAGAATATTTTGCTCGCTAAACTGAACTAAAAAAGCACCCCAATATTGTACTAATCATTTATAGTAGTAGTAGAAGAGCTTTAGTAGAGCTTGCAGTTAGAGCGTGCTTATATTCGTCTATTATAATATTAATAAAATATAATTTATATTATATTTTAATCTGAAACGGCATTTATATACAATTTATATAGGTAAAATATACATCACCGGAGGCTTTAACGGTCAAGAATGCATGAACACTGCAGAAGTGTATGATCCTGACACAAACCAATGGACACTTCTGCCCAACATGAGAACTAGACGTTCTGGCGTGAGCTGCATCTCTTACCATGGGCAGGTAAGACTCATTAATGAGATTAAGTTACCGTTTAAGAAAATTCGTAGCGTCATAACAAAATAGAAAAGACTCGCTTTTGCAAGATACAGTGTTTGTTATAAACATTTGTTTTTAAAAACAATATAGTAAAATACCTTTATTTTTAATTTTTATAGTACTCGAAAAACAAATCAATGCTCGGCATTTTACAATTGTCAAGAATACAATATGCACGCGCATGCATTATAATATTTGTGAAAATAAACCGAAATATTTCATTTATTATTATATTCAAATATCTAAACAAACGAAACTAAAACAGTATTTTGAACGTCCAAAGTTTATAGCTAATTAACAAAATCTTTCATAATTAATCTGAAGTACTAGTGTAAGGTTTGACCATACGCAGATTAAAAATGTGCGGTCTTTGGCTACCGCATAATTTTGAACGTGACATAATAACATAGTATAAATTAAAATTAAACTCTTCTTTAGATGTCTAAAATAATCTGTTCCAAAGTTATGACTGTCCGATAATGCTTAAAGAACATAAAACTTGAAGTTTACTGCTTCTATATTAGTAGACGCTGTTTTGCCTTTTACGAAAGTTGAACGTTTAATAAGCACGTTTGTTTAGTTCAAGGGTGTCAATGGTTAATAATTTAAATTATATATATATATATATATATATATATATATATATAATTGGAGGTAATTTTTCATAGAAATAAATATGAAAGTAATGCGTTGAGCATGAATGAATAAAAAAAATTACAGCATAAGAGAGAATGAATTATTATTAAAATATCTATCTATTAATGTAAGATAAACATAAATCAATCTTTAACTAATCGTAAGCAATTGATCAAAGTGGATATCCAACAATCCAAAACGTTTGTAAGGTCAAATATTCCGAGTATTGTTTTCTGTTTTCGCATCCCTTCATTATGGCTTAACGTTCCATTCTTCGAGCGCAAGTGATTTATGACAAAAAACAAATATAGTCATACTTTTTATACCTGAAAAAATAATATTTTAGTAGCATCGTTAAAAACAAACATAATGACATGGTTCGTTCTGTCGAAGGTGTATGTTATTGGCGGCTTCAATGGAATGTCTCGGATGAGCAGCGGGGAGCGGTACAACCCGGCCAGCAATACATGGAGCAACATCAGGGAGATGTATCACCCGAGGAGCAATTTTGCCATCGAGGTGATCGACGACATGATATTTGTCATTGGAGGATTCAATGGGGTCACTACTATCTACCACGTAGAGTGCTACGAGGAAAAGACCAACGAATGGTAAGGGAAAGAAATTTATTCGCAAAATAATAGTTGCCTCTTGCGTCACCCCTAAACGAATGTTTTTTTTTTTGAAATTTTGTTATCCGATCATTGTTCAGTTGTATCTCCTAATAAATTTGTTTAACTTTGAAGGTATGAGGCCACAGATATGAGTATTTTTCGATCTGCCCTATCGGCAAGTGTCATCATGGGTCTACCTAATGTTCGTGATTATATTCATCAAAATCGAGAGAGGCTGATGGAAGAGCGAAGACAGCGCATGATTGCAGGCATGTTCTATAAAAAAAGAGTTAAAAAAGACTTAATTCAACTATACCAACATCTCAATAATAAATCACATTTAAGTTATACTGTTGATTGATCGTCGCTATTTTTGTAAAGTTTATTATTCGTTCAGCTTGTTTCTTTTTGCTACCTGGCATATTCATTATATATGTAATGAGTTTTCCCATACTTGATTCTGATAACTATTATATTTCTCCATTTTGTACAAATTCAGTATCTAAGAATAGTATATTCTTGAATTCTTGGCTTATGCTTTTAAGGAATGATATTGAAATATTTTGCATCAGGTGATCGTTTGCGGGCCGAGCAGGGAAATAATGGGCCGAATCCGCCGCCGCTGCCCGCACCACCAACTCGCGGCAATCCACCCATTCTACAGGTAAAAATTAATTTTTATCATGCAAGACATGAATCTGTCCTAGGTTATAAAAATAAAATATATTTCAATCGACTTATTTTTAATAATTTAGCAGATCGACTTGAATGCACTTCAAGCTGCCGCCGATCACGATGACCCAATGGATCAAGACAACATAGAAAATGGCCATTTATTAGATGATGACAATATGTAATGACACCGATGAACAAAATATTTTGATAACAAACACTATCAACCACCAATGCCGCACGACAACGTCAAAATTGCCATTTAATGGACAATACAATATTTGGACATTATTGGGCACCACTATTAACAAACTTCAAATTATTTCACCAACCATGGACAAAAAATCTATATGAACCACAAAATAAACTAGAAATTAGACTTTCTATAATAAATTTATAACTTTCCTCTATTTCTAACGATCCATTTTAAAATTAAATCTCATAACATTAAATTTAAAACACTAATGATTTTATATTAAATTCAATAATTATATAAAATTTACATTACAATTTTTTAATTTATATTTTTTGTATTCTTTTTTTAAATATACTTTTTACGTTTCAATGAACTGAACTTGCATTTTATTATCGATTTTACTTGTGAAGATTTTTAATTATTGTTTGTATTTAATAAACATGATGTTTAAACTTTTGCAATATTTATTAAGAATTTTAAATACATATAACTCTATAATATAGTCAAACTAAATCTATAGTCAAACGTGCTATTATAAAAATAATGACTACACAAATTATTTATATCATCAATTCTATAACTATATAGACTATGTGTATGAATTAATAAATATAAATTCGAAATTTTTGACATGATATATTATAATTTTAACGTTCATAGTTTTCTAAATCTATAGATACCACAACATCCATTAAAATCTATTTGTCAGATCAACAGCAAAAGTATGCAAAAGCGTAACCTGGTAATTAAAAATTATATTCGTTTGTTTAATTGTTTTTCCATAAGTTAGTCGGATCAATAGCATATTATTTATTCATGATAAATGGAACTATTACTTGAGAAATAAACTTTTCAGAAAATAATATCAACAATCCTTGAAACTAGAAACAGATTTTTGAAAATCATCAAACCAAATTTGAATCAAAATCTTCATCGTGTCATTTTAAATTGAGAAACAAATACAATATAATCAATTAATTTCAAGATTTGACACTGATTTTTTAAGTTACATCTTTTGCTTTTAGTAGAGAGACTTTTGAAAGCAATTAGATCACTACAGTATTTGTACTTGCGTTACATGTATATATACGATATTAATACTACTACTTAGAACTACGTATACTGTTTCAGTGATAATTATAGAGGCAACCATTTCAATTTAATCATTCAAAGACCAATTTGAAAAGTAGAATTAAAAAACAACTTCCTAAGAAATGGTATTGAAAAAGGACCACAGAATATGAACAATAGCAATATAGTTTTCATAATCTTATAAAAGTCAAAATTATTACTTTGAAATACTGATGTTAAACATATATATACTTAATATATTTTATGTAAAACTACGCAAAAAAAGATTATGTAATGAAATCACAGAAGTTTGTATCTAAAATTATCCCAGAATATTCCTTAGCCAACATAAATAAATATTAGAATCTTAGTCGTCATTAACAAGATTAATGCAATAAGGTTACTAATTTACTAAGATTAAAGCGATATTCAAATGAATAAATCATAAAAATTGAATAAATTTAACTACTAAGATATTTTAACTCCATTGAAAACGCATGTTAATTCATTTACTGTATAAATACATATTTGTAATAGGAAAAGAAAGTTCATTGCCGCTTTGCACAAAATTGTGATAGGATTCAGTTTGAAAATGCCATAAAACGTTTTACTCTAAATGCTCATGTCATATATATAATACTTATAATTAATGCTCCACACACTACCATACTTAAATAAATCTTATATTATGAATCAAATTTAAGCAAATGGGCACAAAATACTAATTTTATTGAAAAGATAATTAGGTTAATATAGAGAAATGCATTCATAATGCTGTAATAGTAATATACTAAAAAATGGGCGAGAGCTAAACATTTTTTCAGATTGGTCAAATATTTTGTGTAATGAAAGAACTTATAGCAAAACCCTTATTCAAATAAAAAGTTTCAGCAAAACTTAAACAACTCTGTATATAGTTTGGATATTAAATTGGTAATCAAGAAGTTTGTTGACCTTTTGTTTAAAAGCAAATTTTTCAACCCATTTTGAGTTTTCAATTAATACATTTTTGATAATGATTCAATAATAATAATTATGCCTACTAGGTCGTATTTTAAAAATACTTTCAATATAAATTCTTAGACTTAATGATAAAAAATTAAATCTTTGTTTCAGTCATTTTATGAACTGAAGGATCACAAATCACCAACAATACCTGTTGGTGTTAACTCTACGTTAAAATTTTATACAGAATTCTAACTTTACAATATACTGTTTTATATATTAATTTTTACCAAATAGCAATCTAATAAAAAAAATAGATTTCATTTATAATGAAAAGTGCCACATATTTCAAAGGTTTTTATGCTCATAATTATGCTAAAATTTATAGTCTGGCCTAAATCTAAAGTATCTTTTTACAATTTATATTTTATTATAATTTAGAATCAAATTCAAACGTACACTCATTAATATAAATTATGTGGCACTCTTTATTAAATTTAGAACTATGCAGAAATATGATTCAAATATAAAACATCCAAATGACATTAATTACATTTGTTTTGTTATAATCCTTTTATATTTAAAATGTTATTGATAGATTTGTAAAGTGAGTCATGTGCTCAAAATGACAAAAATGCCGCCTGTCATACAGAAAGCACAAATGTTAAACTAGTCCTTAGAAAGTGGAATTGATAAATAAAATGACTATACAATAATGACCTTACAATGAGCATCAATTTTATTACTTTTTGCATCAGTTTCTAAAAACTTTTGTACCCAATGTAATGACATTTTGTATAGTCTATAAAATTAAAAAAATACATAATAACCATTGTTTGCTTAGCAATGCATGGTTTATTATCACAGACTTCTGAATATTGGAAAATGCTTATTATTTCACAGAAGTAGCATGTAAATAGATCTCTCAATAATAGAATAGAAGAGAATATGGTATAGACTACCAGTCATTGAGCAAAAATTCTTTAATAAACAGATAAATATTTCTTTCTAGTGAAATTGCTAATTCATTAGTTGATTAGCAAACAGCGGTTGTATCAATATTATAATATTAACCCTTAACGGATAATGGCCGTCGTATATGCGACAAAATACATTAAGAGTTAATATTTTAAACTTTATTACATTGTTATATCTTATAATAAAAGTTTGTTCAGCCATAAAATCCTGTAATCTAATCATCTAATGAAAATGAATTTATTCATGGCTTATCTATATTTCATTTTCATTCAGACGGTTGTTATTTTATCAACAATGACTGCAATGTTGATTGATGTTTGCAAGTTCAAGAAAGTTGAATCAAAAGCAACTTACCAATCATTGAAAAATAATAAACAAAGTAACACAATTAAATAATTAAAATTAATAAGTACTTTTATAAGAGGACTTATAAGACTACAAACTTTATTTGACGATTGCGCGTCAAATTATCGCCCTAAACCGTTGTGAAGTTTGATCGCGACCGGAAAAGCAGTGATACCAACATCATGAAATCGAAAACAGTGTCAGATTTCAAAACAAATGCGTTATTAGGTTGAACACAAAATGACTATTTTTTTCCTGTTAATTGTTAGTTCGTGCGTTTTTTATGAGTTTTAGTTTTGTTCGTTTTTCGTGAATTTTTATTAATTAGTAAGATCCTTTCAATGCAATTTTTTTATAAATATGATATTAATTGTGTAATTTATAAATTTCAATAAACATCGTTGATAAAATCTTACAACAAAAATTAGGAAGAAAGAAAAAGTAGCAAATTTCATTTCCTAGATTTATTGTTCATTCTAAAGAAGTTTCTTTTATTAACAGTGTTGATTGAAATTTATATTACATTTAATTTCATTACATAAATAAAACATAGGATTTTATAGCTTGAAAAACCGTTCTTATGAAGATTGTATTTGCAAAGAGTTCAGTTAAAAGAATTTTAGTAAAAAAAATTAAGGTTTTCTTTGCTTTACTGGATTGCCTAAAGTAATAAACCAAAAAATGAAAAACCTGAATTCATATCATTCTGTTCAAATTTCTTAATGAAATTGATGTTTCATAAAATATTTATTATTTTATGAAACATTAGTATCAATTAAGCAAATAAAAAAAAATGTAAGTTCCTAACTCAATTCATGTGTAATTATAAAAATGAGAAAATTATTCACTGAGAGTTAGCAATATAAAACTATGTCATACCGTATTACTTTCTACTCTCGTCTTGTACGTTTTGATCGTGTGTTAGCACATGAAGAATCTGTGTTATTGTCATTTCTATGCTTTCTTCCAACTTGCACTTGACTTTGTGCTGTCAATTGTAATGATATTGCTTGACCATTTAATTTCTCAGCTTGTAACAATTCTTTTAATCTGTAAACAAATGTCTATTAAAAAGAACCCATGGAAATCAAATGTTGAAATTGAAAATCATGAAATTTGTATAAATCCTACCCTTTCATTTTTTGACTGTGGAGCACAACCACTGGTCTACTATTTAAAACTTTTTCCATTTCGGCCCCAATGCATTCATCCATCTTTTCAATGATACTGCATTCAGCATTGACATCTATATCATTAGAAATCATATTCCCGATGTCTTGTACAAGAGCAGCATCATTTTTGTACAAATTCATGTCAATAACATCAGAGACTTGTTTACTCATTTCAAGTTCATCTTTGATCTCATTACCAGAATCATCCATTTTTTCATCTTTAAAAGCATCAATGACATTTTTTGATGACACATTGTTATTTTCAGTCATTGGTTCAGTTTTATTAATCTTCTCTTCTGTTTTATTTTTAATAATCAATCTACTAGATTTTCTGGTAGTATTTTCTTCATTTGGAGCAGTAGAATTTAATTTTGTATCTTGAATAGTATTTCTAATATTCTCTTCTTGTTCTGAATCTTCTTGAATTAATATACTGACTTGTGCACGAACATCAGATTCTAATTTTGATATTGTGCTCACAAAAGGTTTAGCCCAACCAATGTGTAATATCGGAGTGGGGCTACCTTCTTCCCATTCACATATTCCATCATAGAACCTGTATTGGGATCATACACCAAAACCTTAATTTTCAAAAATCAATAACCACATAGGCAATCCATTTTATAATTTAAAATAAATGGAAAAAGGACAAGAATACATCAACTCACCGTAATAGATTGGCAAAACATTCAGGATCTTTTAAAATTGATCTTGCATTATGACCTGAACTTTCAGATTTAATAACACATGGTATTTGTTCATTAGCAACTTCCAAAAATTCTTTATAAATCTCCTCATCATCACGGGAGTAGTTATACCTTATATAAAACACAATTAAAAAAATATCTAATATATACATTTGCAATTATCAGTACTAACAATCGAATAACATTTCCTGCATTAGCCCAACTTGAAAAAGCTTCTTTGTACATTCCTTGGCGATAGTAATAAGAGCCTTGGTAAGTATAAGGATAAACATGATGATCGTTATAGAATGTCCTTGCACTGTCTACTGCTTGCTGATATAATTTAGAGCAACTGGGTCTACCAGCTTCTGGAAACATTTCTTCCAATTCTCCTAAACAGCCGAGAGCCATAGGATAACGGTCAAGATGACCTAAAGTTGTTAGAATAAAGGACTATTGATCATTGAGAGAACTATAGTTGCTCACAGACAGGTTAAATGACTTATAGAAGTAGTATCAATTAATATACATATTATAATAATATACATGTATATATGTAGATATTCTCCTAAAAAGACAACTATGGGATAAAGTCTAGATAATCTGGAGTTGTTAAATAACTATTTAATTATCGAGAAACCTATCAATGCCCACACAGTATTGATTTTAAACATAGTTTTGACCAAAGCTGATAAACTGGCTTATAAAAAAAATTTTATGTGCCAAATTGTATTAATAAATATATATTATAATAAACTGAAATTCCAAATGGCATAGTTTATAAAATAAAATTAAATTTATTCAGTAAAGCATACCTAAATCATATAAAAGCCATAATAATTTCTTTTGTAAAGTTGATATCTCATGGACCTCACAAGATAAATTCAAGGATGGATTTATAGCTGAAACGAGTGCAGCGATTTCTGTGTATCGAGAACAAACTACTGGATGCCCAGATAAATAAAGCCAAGAATGATTTTCAATATCTGTAGGCACAGCTTTTCCACGTTTATCTTCTGTGCCTTTACTATGCCAAGTAACCTAGAAGCATCCATTAAACATTACATACAAATTATCTATTGATCAACAATTAAAATGTAACCATAACAATGTCTCATTTGCTATGTTATGTATATTATAAGCTTTCATGATTTATTTTAAAAAAGTACCTCAATTGTTTCAGAGCCATCTTTCCCAAAAACCACCCAAGCATGGTCCTCCGACAGAGCTAAATGTACATCTTTAAATCCTAGTAGTTGGCAAGCAGCAACAACTGCATAAGCAACACCAAACGAATCTAATTTATTTGTAGTAACATAACTGTATAAACTTTGTATATGAGCTTTATCTCTATAATAACCTCGAGTTAAAGAATTCCATATAATATCTGATACTTTCTTAATTAAATCTCGAGTAGCATATTTTCCTTTGGCCGATTTTGTATCGATCGAGCCTTTTATTATGCCTTGAAATTTGTTGTACATTTTTTCAATAAAGTCATACTCTATACTTGGGAAAGGCATCGGTTCGTCATGCAAATTCCCGGATTCTTTATCCTGAACTCGACCAGTCAATGCATTTTCGACAGCCCCGATGACAAGCGATAATAATGTTAGATCTGGCTCTTGTTTGCTTTCAAGTTGATGTTTAAATAGCTGAACGATGCCATAAATGTTTTTAATTGGAAAACATTGCGAACTTTTGTCTTTCAAATTCGCCATTACCGCCTTTTGACATTTGCGTCTCAAGATATAAATGATTTTACAATATAATCACTTACATCGGCCGGTTTCTCTGTAGACACTGGTCAATAACAGTCATTTGAGTCGTGATTCGCTTGATAAAATAGTATGTTTTTTAGTTAAAAACGCAATTGCGTCAAACGTAATTTCGATGTTTAAAACTGCTTGTTTGTTTTTAGTTGGGATCTGTCAAGCGACTCCATGGGCACCATCTCTACAATATCGTGCGAACTCGTGCAATCGTTCGGTCGCTAGCGGTCAGATGACATGCTCTATTTGACCGGGAAATATCAAATATTCCATACAACTCGGCAATAATATAATCAGACAAATTCCCAATAATCATTTTAATACATAATTATAGAAACCTTTCTAAAAAAACAGCTTCATTAAAGTATAAACTCTATAACTACCCCATATTCTTCATATTCCTGATAGATAATCATTTCTGTACAAAATTCGACATGTACTAACAACATCCTTCTTCAAAGTATAAACTTTATAACTCAACTATATTATTGATGTTGCCCTGTTTTTTTTTTAACAAAAAATTATAGACTACTAAAACCAGCTTTATTGAAACTAAATATTAAGAATAGTCCCATTGCTCTATTTTATTTCCATATAAAATTCTACAGCACCATCGATAAAATATAACTCAAAATTCTGCAACTTGATCATTCAGGACTTCAAACTCCATAATAAATTATTAGAAGAACATAAATACTTGGTTGAAATATAATGTATGGGGTATTTTGTGTCATATATGATTCTTCTATGATAATGCATAATTATTTTACAAATTGGCACTTTGATTCATAATTAAAATTTATATTTTATTAATTATAAACCTAATAATTTTAAAATGCTAAACTTAAAAATAATTATAGAGTATTTATTAAATTTTAAATCTTTGGAAACTTTCATTAACAATCACAATAAAAAATCACAATTTGTAAAATTCGAGTAACGGATCTTATATATTTCATATTTAGTAAATATGAACTTTGAATAAAATTAAGAAAACAAAATCACTTGCCGGAAAAATAGATATCGCAAAATGACGGATCCAAGTAGGACTATTACATTTTTTATTCTTTATCGCAAAGGTATCATTTTCGTCATAATTAATCCTAATAATTAAGACTTTCTTGCGTGGAATGGGAATAAGAACACTTACTTATATGTACGTGAGAATCAAATAATATTATTCCTATCCTGTAGTACGAAGTTCTTGGTAATGACTTTTAAATTAAGGCACGTAATAATTACTTCTCAGATTCTATGAACGCATAATAAACCGAAAATTACATTGATCACTACATCGGACAAACTGTATAAAGGAAATAAGGTTTAGAGCAAATAAAGTAGTAAATAATGAATAAGACATCTAAAATGGTTATACAAATTAATTAATTTGATGATTTGAGTTAGATTAAGATTTTATATTATTATAACTTGACTATAAGCTTTAAAATATTTTCCAATTTTAATTTTGTTAGAAGTAATTTCTAATGTTTTAATCGTGTATAATCGTGATGAAGACGACGTATATTTGCGAGTATCTCATCTTTGATTAGAATGGTTAGATTTATAAGAAGCTTTAACATATAGATATTTGCTCCTAGATATTTCTGCAAATGTTTTGTTTAGAGTTTATTTCAACTATAAACGAAATATATTTGAAAATTACATAGGTTCGTTTTGCGTGCTCCTTGCGAGAAGGCAAGGAAGCAATCAAGTTTATAATAACAAAACGTTTAAATACCTACAAGTTTGCGCCACGAAACGACATAGATTGTCGTTGATAAAAAGCTACCTTTACTGAGTCATTAAAGTTGCCAAAAGGGGAACTGGTGCTAGTGCGTAAGTGATTACAAGTTAAATTGACATTTAAAGAAGTGTACTGTACGTGTGTTGAATACTGAAAAATTAGCATCTCGACATTTTCTAATTCACATGTATATTCCCGATCGCGCTTTGGTGATCTTTAATCACCAGCAATGGTAAATAAGAAAAGAAAAAAAACGAAAACAACAGTTCTCCGTAGTGATTGTGTGGGTCCATATAGTGCTCTCGCCTAGCATCGCAGTCACTGGTCGTGAGTAGATATATGAATAAGTGTAAGGTACATGAGCTTTCGTCCGGGCTAGTGTTGGTGCCGCGATAGGACCGCGCTACCACCGCGCACTTCGTCTCACATCGGTATTTTCCCCCGCGGGAGATATTTTGTGCCCGCGACATTCCTTCCTCTCTATCCCTCGTTTTCACAGTGGTATGCGTGCCGAGAGATCGCACCGGCAACGGTCTAAGTGTATGGGTTCATGTATGTGCATGCCCGCGAGTAAGTCTTTCGTCTTTCGTCTTTCGTTCACAAGAGAAGTCTTACAGAATACTGAGAGCGAGACACTGTGAAACATTACGGATAATGGTGGGCAAAGGCAATGTCGACCAGATCGAATTTATCTACATTATTTAAATGAATGCATACGCGCTTAACAAAAACTCTCAAAATAAAATAAAATGACCACTATATAAATATTACTTAAAATTTTCCAACTACACTTGATGCCTGACAGGACATTTTAACTAGAAAATCAAATGGTTTCATAACGATTTTGATTCTTTATAAAAAACCATTTTCAATCATTTTTTATTATCTCATTTCCAAGTACTATTATCGATTTCATATTATCTGTTGTTGGTAATCAGTAAAACGTCATATATTGAAGTCGAATATTAAATGGCGTCAAAAGTTGCGCAAATTCGATGTTAATCACTCACCCCTAATTCCAACGTGAACGCTACGGCCATCTTGAAATACCTAGCAAAGCAATACAAGACAACAAAGAGATATCGTCGAGAGTCGAAACGCGGACCTGCGAGGTACCTGTGCGAAGGAATGAGATGTCGATAAGCGCGCCGAACACCGCTGCTGAGGACTCTTTACTTTGCAGGGATAGAAAACGGATTTTACAAATTCGAAATATCGCTTTTTATAATAATAAGAACGTTATTTAGTCTTTAATCATTTAACTATTATTTGTTCAGAAATGATTAATGTGATAATATACACACCATGGACAATTAGCAGCACGTAGTATAATACTACATGCAAATGAAAATGTTTCCAGAACTTTTAAACACAATTTGCTTATATGAATTATAGCTTAATTTATGCTAAGTATTTCTATTTTCTAAACGCTTAGTCATAAATTTGATAATTAGTGTGTTCAATTGTAATACATAATTTTTGATCGTTTATTCAATAAGTACAATGACATAAAGTGAAGGATATGCATTAATGAAAATACTTTTTAATGATCAATGATATCATTCGTTGCAAGGTTGTTCGCCTCGGAAAACACAAGTCCAACACGCAGCCCGGAGTACCGGTCATGCAAGTTCGATGCTCGGACCATTAGTCTTTTGTAAGATCTTAAGCAGTGCGGATGGTGTTTTCGCGTTTGTCAAAAATAAATACAAGTGTGTTGTGTCGTTGTGTTTTGTGTGAAAGACACATGTTATCACTATCGACGTCATACGGGGTGACAAACGTAGAAGTTTCGTGATGGTGCTCGTGTTCGGATCATGATGCGAATTTATCTGGTGTTATCGGTTTGTGCACTCGTCGTGGGCGCCCACGGACCCGGTCCCGGTCCAGGTCCTGGTGCGGCTTATAAATCGAAATCGTTACACGATGTTTCGGGAATCGGTATGCAATCGCGTGCAGTTGATACGCGTGTGCAGTTCGAAATTTCCGAAGGACTGCCACCGGGAACGACGGTCGGTTTTATTCCTATGAAAACAGGATTTACATATCGCTTTAACGAAGCGCCATTAGAATTTACACTTGATTCGCGAACGGGTGAAATTAGGACGAATATAACTCTGGACCGCGAAGATTTGACGAACGGTCGTTGTGATTTAGTTGTGTTATCCAGTCAGCCTACATATCCTATAGAAGTGCGTATCATTGTGATAGATGTGAATGACAACCCACCGCGTTTTCCGGAACAAAGTATATCAGTGTCGTTTTCCGAAAGTGCTGCCGCAGGCACCAGGTTGCTTTTGGACGCCGCGAGTGATCTGGACGGTGGACAGAATGGTGTAACGGACGATTATAAAATAGTGAATGGTAATGCGGATGGTAAATTTTGTTTAGCCGTGACAGAAAATCCTAGTGGTCAAGCTTCATATTTACACCTAGAAACAACGGGTAGTCTAGATCGCGAAGCGCTTGAATTTTATTATTTAAATATTTCGGTTAGGGATGGCGGTGAACCACCTTTATATGGATACTTGCAAGTTAATGTGACAGTGTTGGATGTGAATGACAATCCGCCAGTTTTTGAGCAAGTGGATTATATTATTTCGCTAAATGAAAGCCTGCCTTCTGGGAGTCCAGTTCTACAGGTATTAGCCACTGACAAAGACAGTGGCGAAAACGGTCGCATAACTTATTATTTATCAGAGTTAGAAACAAAATTCACAGTCGATCCTGAAACAGGAGTTATTTCTACAGCGGAAATTTTATCATGTCCACAACAAAATTGTCCTGCGGTAGGAAAATCCTGTCCCAAGTCCTGTGTTTTTACAGTTTATGCCAGAGATCACGGCATGCCCAGACAAGATGGCAGAACTTACGTTACCGTCAATCTTGTCGATGCCAATGATCATGATCCTTTGATTCGATTTCGATATTTTCCTCCCACAGCGGGATATGCAACAGTCGATGAAAATGCAGCAAACAGTTCTTTAGTGGCTGCCGTTTCAGTAGAAGATGGCGACGAAGGTGCTAATGGAGATACTATAGTTCGGATAGTTTCAGGTAATGAAATGAATCATTTTCGATTAGACAAAACTGGTAGTTTTCATATAGTGCGCGTTAATGGCGCACTAGATCGCGAGGAAATTGGAAAATATAATTTAACGATTGTAGCACAAGATAGGGGTATTCCGCCAAGAACCACAACTGCTTTTTTAATTATTAGAGTCAACGACGTTAACGATCATGAGCCGGTTTTTGGAAAATCCGAATATTCAGCAGTACTTAGTGAATTGGCTGCTCCAGGCACATACGTAGCCAGCGTAACTGCAACCGATCAGGATACGGGAGTAAATGCACTATTACATTATGCTTTTGTATCAGGTGACGATCACGGTTGGTTTAAAATAGACTCTAATTCTGGGCTCATAACGACGGCAACCGCATTAGACAGAGAATTGCAAGGTACTGTTACCCTTAAAGTTTCAGCTCGAGATGGTGGGCCTAATCCGAAATGGGCGCACACGCAGCTCAAAGTAACTATTTTAGATGAGAACGATGAATCGCCGTCATTTTCTCAAGAATATATCAATGTAACACTTTCCGAGGATACACCCCCTAACACATTAATCGCCATGCTGACAGCTTCGGATCCAGACCAAGGTACAAACGGTAGCGTAACATACGATTTTCACCCTTCTATACGTCGTAAGTATTCGGAGATATTTGCGCTCGATTCACTAACGGGACGTTTGACCACAAAATCCAGTTTAGATCGTGAAGCTCAATCTTACTACAAAATTCGCATATTAGCACGTGACCAAGGCATACCACCTCAAAGTGCCACAGCTGTTGTAAATTTGTACCTATCTGATGTCAACGACAATAGCCCAAGTTTTTATCCGTTGCGATATTTTCGAATCGTGTCCGTGAGAAGTCCATACGGTACTGTAATAGTTAAAGTAATCGCCACTGATTTAGATATTGGAAATAATTCTGTGATAGCTTATACATTGGAATCTGGAAATGAAAATATGTTCGCGTTAAATCCGAGAACTGGAGAGGTATCACTGTTACCTGGATTTTCAACATCTCACGAGCGTTTATTTACATTAGTTATATCTGCAAAAGACACTGGGGGTAGACGTGCTTCCAATAATGCTATTGTAAAAATAATTAAAGAACAATATCGAACAGAGTTAAATTTTTTAAATTTTGATAAATATAGTTTTAAAATTCTCGAGGATCATGGTAACAAAACACCTCAAATTGGTAGACAAGTAGGCCGTATATATAGTAATGTAAATCCTGTCAATTATTCTATATTATATGGCGATCCTGATCAAATATTTAGTATCGAAGAGCAGAGTGGTATAATATCAACGTCAGGAAAATTAGATAGAGAACAGCAAAACTTTTATACATTAACGATCGCCGCAACGGCGGGGTTGGCGTACGGAGAAACGCATGTTAACATAACCGTGCTGGACTTGAATGATAATTTGCCGCAATTTTCCGATCAGAACGAAAGCCTTTGGCTAGCTCAAGATTCAGCTGTGGGCAAAGAGATCTATTCGGCGCGAGCACGCGATTATGATGCGGGGATCAACAGCCAATTGAAGTACACTTTGCTGCAACAAAATCCCGACGATCAATTTCGAATCTCTGAAACGACTGGGGTCATTTATTTGAAACGGCCAATCAAGACTCAACCGGGAACGTCGATGAGCCTCGAGGTATCCGCTACTGATAGTGGCGAACCACCACTTACTTCGACTTGCCAATTGAAAATACTTGTAGGGGATGTCAACGATCACACGCCAAACTTTCGATACACTTCTTATGAAACTTCGATATCAGAAACTACGCCAGTGAATTCAAGATTCTTTTTTATGTCAGCGATGGACGCAGATTTAGGTGATAATGGCAGAATTTCATATGATATTATACAAGGTAACGATGATGAAAAATTTGGTGTATTTCCTGATGGTTCTATATATATTCGAACAGCTTTGGACAGAGAAGAGCAAGATTTTTATATTTTAACAATATCGGCAAATGATTCGGGAATACCTGTTAGAAAGTCTGAAGTTCCTCTAATTGTCCACGTGTTAGATGAAAATGACAATATTCCAGAGTTTCTTAACAGTACATTTACTTTTAGCATTCGTGAAAATGAAGCACCAGACTCATTCATTGGTCAAGTATCAGCACAAGATCGAGATATTGGTCGTAATTCAGAGCTATTGTACTCTCTGTCAGAGTCGCACAAAGATTTTAAAATCGATGCAAAAAATGGATATATTAGGGCAATGAGATCTTTCGATCGAGAGGAGTTATTAATGTCAACAGGGGTTGATTATATTACTTTTGTGGCAACCGTTAGTGACAGTGGTTCCAAAGTAAGATTTAAACACAAAGCTAAAGTTAAAGTTTATATCACAGATGTTAATGATAATATGCCAACGTTTATTAGAACCCCATATCGTACTCAAGTATCAGAAGGGCTTTCAATTGGATCACAAATTGCGCGCGTGTACACAGACGATGCAGACGAAGGTTTAAACGGGGACGTATTTTATTCAATCGTAAGTGGCAACGACGATAAACGCTTCGTCATAGATCCAGCGTCCGGTCAGATCAGCTTGTCAAAACCTTTAGATCGCGAAGTTGTGAGCAGATACAATCTTGTAATTGAAGCCAAGGACGCAGGCTTAGAGACACGACTGAGTTCAAACTGCACAGTGTCGATAGAGGTACTAGATGAAAATGATAACGCACCAAAATTTGCCGAATCACTAATGAGAGAAATTTTAATATCAGAAAACACGCCAATAGATACTGAATTGATGAAGTTTATAGCAACCGATACCGATCTCGGTTTAAATTCTGAAACTACATTTTCGATCACAGGTGGAAACAGAAAAGATGCTTTCAGAATTGATTCCAATTCGGGTGTTTTATATTCACATAAAACACTCGATTACGAAGAATTGGCTTTTTATAATTTAAACGTAACGGCAACAGATGCTGGCCATCCGAGATTGTCAACTTCCACTTACTTGCGAGTGGTAATCGAAGATGCAAATGATAATGCGCCAGGCTTTCCAAGTACAGCAATAGTTCGGCAAATTCGAGAAGGAATTCCGATTCACACACCTATAGTCACAGTAATCGCAGAAGATCCAGATTCGGGAGCTAACGGAAAAGTACTATATTCTATATCGGTTCAGCAACCCATTCTCGGTGACCGAAGTATACGACATTTTGGAATCGATCCTTTAACAGGAGTGATTCATACTTTGCTGCCTATCGACAGAGAAACAATAGATACTTTCAGATTGACAGTTGTAGCAACGGACTCGGCAGAGTTTCCAGAACAAAGGCTTTCAGCAGAAAAACTAGTGACCGTCATCGTAGAAGACGTAAATGACAATGCGCCAGAGTTCATATCGATGAATGCTGGTATTATAATGCAAAATGCAAGTGCTGGTTCGTCAATAATGCAGGCTCTGGCAATAGACGCAGATTCTAGCACAAATGGTTTAGTAACATACGAATTCCTAAGCGGCGATATCGAATTTTTTAGATTACAACAAAACACCGGAGAAATCACATTAAAAAAGGAACTTACTTCTCCGAAAACGAAATATCTTTTAGCTTTGAAAGCGACTGATGAAGCCGTCCAAGCCGAACGTCGAAGTTCAGATGCGTACATAACTTTACTTGTGGCTCGCGGTCCATATCTCGATTCTAGAGAATTCGAAGTGTCGGTTTACGAAAACGAACCTATCGGTACGAAAGTGTTCACTGTATCTTTTCCTGGTCTACGCGAAGACCACTTCGAATTTTACGTGACCGATGTAGAGATTATGAACGGCAAGAAAACCAGACGTCTTTTCGATATAGACATTCGAAGTGGAGTGTTATCAACCGCGGCAGTACTCGATAAAGAAACTGATGTGCAGTCGTATCAAGTTCACGTCCATGCGCTGAATGAAAAGGACTACCAGAGATTGTATTACGCAATGGTAAGTGATATTAGCCTACTATTTATTGATAGCAAAATGAAACCTTTATGTAAAACGAATCGAAATCGAACAGAAGTATTTGTATTACTAGAATATATATATTTATATATATATATATATATATATATATATATATAGCGAAAAATATCGCGAACAGTATTTAATAACAAAAATAAGTAATTGATGACTAATTATTGTCGTTTGGATTACCGTACATTTCATATCATTTACATCTGTAAATGATTCAGAAGTGTTTGTTAGATTTTGTTAATTGGTTTGGTAGTAACAGACGTGAGTGATTAATGCAGTTATTACATAAGTGCATTAGGCATCGGTGTGGTTTGCTTTTCTGTAATTAGCACATATGCACAATAATAAACGCCGTCAATGGTTCGCGCGGCGCTGAATATGAATGTTAAGCACGCAGATTAAACGTTAGCTGCGTTATTGTTAGCGGACTAGGAATAGCGCATACATGAACACATTAAGAAAGTTGTACGCGATATTATGGTGCCGCAGCAGCAAGCCGCGTGCCGCGGGCCGCAAGACACTGACAGGGCGCGCCTTGCGCCGCTCGACCATTGCACAATACCAGTTTCGAAGTCATTTACAAACTAGGTTGCAAATCATACAACTACAGCGGACAAGCAAGCAAATAGATCACCAAATTTACATACCACAATATTAAAATCATATGTTATGTTATGTTTATCCAATCGTCTAATATTCATCGCCATGTAACTTTACATAGTTTAAATTAAAATATCATTCATATTTCTGTTAAAAAAAAACTCGTCTTTTTAAATACATTTAACATATTATACGCCTCTTAATCTATATATCATGCCCAACATTTACAACAATTAATATAGCTTAATAATATTTTTTATATAAACAAATATGAAAATAGATACAATTTTCATTTGCATAGTTTATTATGTAATTGTTATGGCAAGTCAGCAACTTAATATAAATTAATTTAAAACACCGTAAAAACTTTATATTCAATAAATCCTTTTAGAAATAAGTGTTTTCGAAGTGCAATTGCAAAACACCGTTTTCTGTTTCTGTGTCGCAACCAAACTTCACTTCATCAAACGCTTATGTGGGAGGGCAGAGATACGAAACTGGCATATCGACTAAAGTATCCGAAAGCTAAACTACTGTGATAGAGAAGGCGATGTATTTTGACGTATTATTATAAAACATTATGAAACTATTGTCGGTACTTGCTTATTATTATCACGATACAGTCAGTCGTTAGGCTGCAAAGGTGCGCCTGTATTATTTGAGAATAGCAGACTATGAATTTGAAATAATATACCCATATAACAAATTTGGCATTACCCCAAAATTTAATTTTTAAGAGCATCCGTACTTAACATAAATATAAAACTAGAGATTACATTCTTCGATCGAATCCAAAAAAATGCTCTTAAGTATTCCAATTATTTATCTACAATGATTCAGTATCTTCTTTTGTTTGGTATTTCCATATTTTTTATTTGCCACACTCATCTTAACTGGATATTAAAACAACTAGGATGCCTTAAATAAACAAAATATTCGAAGCGTAGCCTTACCAAATAAAATGTTTTGTAGCCATACACATCAGCATATTGTTCTCGGGATAACAACTAACGAACCATTCTAGGGTTCTTGTTAAAGGTCCGCGTGTTTGCTTAAGGAAACCATAACATGTTACACAAACACGAAATTAAGAAGGCGATATTAAACCATAAAGAAAAATTAACAGCTCATTGCTTATAAAGCGTATGAATTTCTACAAAATTGTTTTTCTATATCGTGCCGAATATCTTCATATATGCGCTATTAAAATGTTTTCATACCCCTCATTATGTGCCCGATACTCAAACACGAGAAAAATTGATTCAAAACGCGAAGCGCAAAGTGAGTATGGCTTGTTGAATAAAAAAAAGGTTAAAACAGTTTTCTCAAGAATTATGGGAACATTAAACATGTATTCAGGGTAATTATAGGTCAGTTATACGCACTTAAACTTCAATAAAACTCTAAGGTGAACTGCCACTTATAAAAATCGGCTTCTCCGGCCTGCGATGTGTGAAGGGGATTCGCACTATTTGAAATGATTTCATTGTATGATATGAATCAACATAATTTTTTTAAATATATGTATGTATTTTTATTCTAATAATATTTTACTAATATAATGAATGAATTACTGCTTGAAATTAACATAATATAAATGCACTACATCTAAGAATTGTTTTTTTTTTTTAATTATTAAATCTTATTTTTTAATTATTTTTTATTTTGATTAAACCTTAGCGTTTTATAAACATTAAAAGTAATTTTAACATTGGTAGATGTAGACAATTTTGCTTCCATCAATATTAATTTTGTCGTAAACTTCAAAATAACTTACGCATTGGACGTGTTTCGCACAATAATAAGCGCAAGGTGCTCCTTCAACTAAATTAGCCCATCCGTTTTCCAAACTATCTGTTACATCTAACTTTATTTTATATAATTTACGAGCGTTTAGTATAACTGCATCTCAAAATAAGAATGATGACCACAACAAAAAATGAAAAAGGACTAGGCAAGCGGATTACGTTGTATTTCGCCCGATCGGGCATACCGCCTGCTAAGAAAAATAAGTTTGGCGTTCGGCATTCACGAATCACATCGCAACATCGTCGTGCTTCGACCGACCCATGCCGATAATAAGTATTTTATATAGATAGAATAAATTTATTGAGATATTGTCCGGTGGTTTCTTTGCACCCGTAGGGCTAAAGATATGCAAATCATATACCTGCAGTGCGGACGCTCAACAGATACACATCGGTGCGGCTCGCAATTATTTTTATGCTCTCTCCGCGCAGCGAACGGACACGTCGCGGCCGCTCGGCCCTCTCTCCTCTCGGATCGGCGGGTCGACGGATCGCCGAGATTCAGATTCTTTTCGGGCGAACGCTTCAGATACCGCGACCATACCGCGACTCCGCGACTGCGACCCGGGCTGATAGTGATGCCGCTGCTACGGTTACAGTTCGACTAGATACATCAAACATTCAACAAACAAATAGCAATAAGAGGATTGAAATTTGATATAGATCTTGCTAATATTTGTCGAAGGATACATTGAAATAAAATGAGGAAGGCCCGAGTTATTAAAATCACACGAAATGTTTTTCAAGACACGTATTATCTAAGTCAAGAATATAATTCAACATCCAGAAACAATAATATAATCTATTACAATCAATACATTTCTTAAATATTATGCATAGATATTCGATAGTGGATTTCATAGGTTTCAAAGTTATATAGTTTAATATTTTAATATTTTTGTTTTTAATATTTAATTTGGAAAGATAAATAATTTTTTTTTTTGAAAATATTTATAAGTTTTTGGATAATTACAAACACTTCACAATTACTGGCATTCGTCTCGACGATGGCCAAATCTTAATAAAATAAATATCATATATTAAAACGCAAAAATTAATGATCGACCAGAAACCCGAGTTCATCAATGATGCATTAATTCAACGACGTATAAATAAATGATTTAACACAATCAATTCTTTTATAAACGACCACAGATATAAATACTCGAAATCGACCGCAAGAAATTGATAAAATAATCACTTTCTTCATTGCCGCTTGTTCGTTAGGGTTCGATATCTCCGTTACAACACTGTTGCGAGGATATTTCGGATGTTTTATTTATTTATTCCGTTATTTACTACTAAAAAGTTATCACTGAAGTTATTGACTGAATTTACACGAATACATGTTTTTGAGAGAATGTAATGGATAACACTTTATTTGTCTTCCTGCTAATTGAACAGTAACTAATTGCGATTGGGAATCGAGAAAATTAATTGTGATTTGTTATTAGCTTTGATAATGAATTGATAACTGTGTTTCAGAATCCACCTATGTTTGAAACAATTGGCAGCGATTGAGAATCTATCATCATCTATCTGGACGCGTTTGGTTCAAAGATAAAGAAAGCTGATGTTTTTGCATGACATTCAGTTTTATTTTTTTCGTTGTCCTCGATACGCGAATGCCAGAAGGGCTGCGCTTGCGTCATGTACAAGACATAATGTGCGTGCTTTGTGTACCGAGGCAATTTATTGCGAGAATCTGGAGGAGCGTAATGTAGATTATTTGTCATATGATACGCTGGCGGAGCCCTACGCCACCATGGCTTGTTACGAACTCATAAAATCGATTGCAATCGCATTACAGTAATAAAATTTTATGCTTCAAAATGCACACTCGATGCAGAGTCGAATTTTTCTTATCGATATAATGAGAGTATGAAAAAAATTTAATTTTTTCAATTTTAATATATGTATATATAAGTATATATGTATATCATTAAAATCACGTTTTTTTTGAGAAGAAGGTAAAACAAAACATTTGTGCGACTCATTTTACTTCCAGAGCTTTCACTACTACCCACTTGACACACTGTCTTTTTGTATACACAACGACTTTAAATAAATTAAAAAAAAATTAAAAACAAAATATATACATTCAAGTATTTTTAAATAAAGTGCAGGATTGAAGTATTAACGAGTAATAAAACCGTTTACAAAATTGAAAGAACTTATCGTTCAATGAAAAAGCTTAAGAGACATTCTCCACCATATACCCCTTAGCCACCGGAGCTTTTACTTAACTCGCGGTGGGGTTATCCTCATCGGAAAATGTCTTGCTGAGATTGTCGTTGTCGGTGTCGTGTATAGCGTTTGCGCACACCAGAACACACCTCCGGTCGTGTCGCCCGGTTCGCCCGGTTCGCCCGGTTCGCATCAAGCGCCGCCTTCGTCATAATTAGACGACAGTCGGCGAACAGCGCGTTACACCGTCGAGGAGGCACCACACCATACAATAGTGACAACAAATCACGAAAAAATAATCAAATGTTTCCGGAACATGTCGCTATAAAGACAATGAATATTCGGGTTTCGAAATTCTGAGCATACTCGTCAAAG